ATGGGGTTTGTCCCTGGGGCTGTGCAGGCTCTGCTGACCCACACTGAGCCCAGCACCAGCCAGCCCCACCTCCCTCTGCAGCTGTCCAGCCACTCCTCTCCCACTTTATCCCTGTGCCCTGTGTTACTCCATCCCAGGTGCAGAATCCAGCATTTATCCTTGTCAAACTTCACCCCATTTAAGAGTACTCAGTGCTCCAATCTATCTAGACTCCTCTGCAAGGCCTTTTGTCCCTCCAAAGAATCCACAGCACCTCCTGGTCTGGATCATCAGCAAACTGCTACCAGTGCATTCATGTCCAGTATCCAGACTGTTGATACAGAACAGGCCCTGGAGTGGAGCCCTGAGGAACAGCACTGGTGTGATGAGTCACCAACCAGATGTTGTCCCATTTGCTCAGTCCTTCAGCCAGTTCTTCACCCACCACACCATGAACCTGCTCATCCCACAGCTCGACAACTTGTCCAGAAGGATGCTGTGAAGCACAGCATCAAAAATCTTGCCAAGATCCAGGAAAACAATATCCACCACCTCCCCTTCACCCAACAGATGGGTGACCTTAACACAGAAGGTTAACTACTGAGTTAAAGAAAACTTTCCCTTTGTGAACCCATGCTAACTGTGCCTGATGAATGCATTGCTCTTCAAATGCCTATTAACAATACCCAGTATAAACTTCTACATAATTTTTCCAGGAACTGAGGTTACACTAATAGGTCTGTACTTGCTTTATGTGCTTCTTGCAAACTGGAATAAACTAGCTAGAGTAAGGTCAGCAGAGACTTCCCTAGACTCACAAGACTTCTGGTGGATGATGAGTCCTGATACAATATCTGCTAGCTCCCTCAGTACTTGAGAGCTAGTACTGATGAGGCTAGTCCCTCAGCCTGGTGGGAGCCATGACGTGGTGAACATTCAGCTGATATAGACGGCCCCTTACAATGTTAGTGTCCACAAATGGAAAACCACAGTTTCCACATCTGTGGACCTCTGGCTCAGGGAACCAGGCAGCCCAGAGTCTATCAATATTGCTAAAGACTAAGGCAAAAAAATCACAGAATTTTAATCCATCTCTTCTTTTATCTTCATCCCTGTAAGCCAGGTGACCATCTTCAGCAAGTATTGAGCCAGTGTTTTCTTCAAACCTCCTCCTTCTTGTTGTATGACAGAACAGCGCTCAGAGTCAGTCCTGAATGACCTTTGGCATTTTGTGCATTCACCCTGCTTATGTAAATCACAGTTTTAGAGTCTTCCTGTGAAGGATGACCTTCTAGACATCATATAATTTCTTTTTCCTCTTCAGCTTCATGAGCAGTTCCCTGTTCAGCCAAGGTGGTCTTCTGCCCCACTAGCTTGACTTACACCATGGGATTGCCTACTCTTGTGCTTATAGAAGATAGCTCCTGAAGATGGACCAGCACATCCGGACTCCTTGGCCCTCAAAAATGTTTGCTGCTAAAGTAGCTCCCCAGGTTAGCTCTCCTGAAGCCCTTGTTAAGAACTCTGTTGTGCTTTTTCTCATTACATTGAAAAATTTTAACTTAACCATGCCATGATCACTGTGGCCTAGAGAACTCCCCTCCATCACATCTCCCACAAGCCCTATATTCACAAACAGCAAGTTGAGGAGGGCATCTTTCCTAGTTGGCTCACTAACTGTGAGCAAAGAAGACATCTTCTACAGAGAATTTCCAAGGCTGCTTGTCATTGCACTACAATATTTGCACTTGATGCCTGGAGGTGGAAGTGTTCCAGAGGAAGCCCACAAGAACAAGAGCTACTGATCCAGAAGTTTCTCCTAATTGTAGAATGACTCATCCGTACTAACATCCTGGCTGAGCAATCAGTAGCAGACACCCACTACATCACTTCCTTTGTTTTCCATCCCCTAGGTCCTCACCCAGAGGTTCTTAACCACATCACCACAAACTCTAAGGGCTGTATAATCAAACCTCTTCCTTATATAGAGTGACACATTCATCTGCCCATCCCTCCTGAAAAGCCTGTAGTCCTCCATTCCAGGACTCCAGTCATGGGACTCAATCCACCAAATCTTAATAAAATGAGTTCTGTTAAAGCTCTAATTACATAAAAACTCTGAAATAAATTGTATTAAAACTCTGGGAGCTAAGTAATGCTCAGGTCATCCTGTGTGGTTCTCATATTGTGCGGATGTACTGCTCCAGGAGCAGAATAAATTGAAATCCTGTTGATACTCCTTTCCCTCATACATTTCAGTTTACAGCTCTCCTGATCAGTCCCACCAGCTTGTGCCTCAAAACACATTTTCCCAAATGTACCTTTGGTTGCTCCGACGAACATAGTTATCCCCATCAACAGGTTTGCGGTATGTTGTAAGTGCTTCATTAAGTTGTTCTTCAATCAATTCAACATATTTTAAGTTATATTCCTGTAAGAAGACAGATGAGAGTTGACACAGTATATTTAGTGATTCATGGTTCAGAAGGAAGAAATAATTGAGGAAAGTTCCTTAGAAAGACTGAGTTTTTTTACGATCTGAAGGTAGGCTGAAGAAAATGAATGCACTTCACACATATAATGAGTTTGCAGAGTCAACAACAGATTTCATAATTATTTCAGAGAATTTGTTAAAAAAAGGAAGAAAGAAATTTCACATCTGACACACTCAAACAATTTCAATATATCATCATGCATTTCAGTACTCCTTGAGAAGTGACACAAACTACTAAAAAAGTTGCTAACAGGAATGAGACCAATCTCTCACATCAATTACAAAACCAAAATAACGTATTAAGAGTTTCATTCAAATTATGACAAGAATGAATTTTTCTTAATGGTCTTGTGTTCCTCTTTACTTTCTAACAGCATCAGCCAATTCTGTCTTCATGAACTCTAGGTTTAACTTTAATTACCAACAACCAGAGGTAACAGGTATCTTGAAAAGTAGCATTCCTTTGCACACTTCTCTAGATAAAGACCTTCTACAACAACCTATTTTCGAAGGTCACTACACTCCTGAAATACCAAAATTATATAGAGGTCTTGGTAAGTCAAAAGCACACATCTATACAGAAGCTATGGAATTGTAAGTCTCTGTCAATCTTTTCCAGCAAAAATCTTATGTCACTGATGTAATAAATGTATTTGCATAAGCTTTACAGGTACATTAAAATGCAATTGTTTTTACGAATTGCTACTCTAAATCTGCATTCCTTCTCCTATCTAGCAAATATTTTCTTCTTAGCATTACCTTTTGCCACTTTTCCATCTGTTTTGTTACATAACCTCTTTCATTTAGATACGAAAACCCCTTTGGGATGGACAGAAATCTGTAAAAAACCATCAGACAGTTAACATTCTACTTTAAATAACTTCCAGAATTTGTATAAAAAGAACACTTATTTGTTTCCACAGCCAGAAGTCAAACAGCATATTCAACATTTACCTTAGGAGTAGAAGCAAACCCTTGTCTCCAAGATGAGAAAGAGCGGGTTTCATTTGGATAAGGGCATGAAGATTGGCCTAAAATAATTAAGAACACAGAAAGAGTATTTGAGCACTATATAATTCTGAAAACTGCAATAACTAGAACACTCCGCCTACAATGAAGCAGTAAGTATCAAGGTATAGAAGAAGTACCAAGTGCCAACTTAATCCTAGTATTACCAATTTTAGCTATCTTGTGTCGTTAAATATAAATTACTTTACAAGAAGTATAATGAAAAAAAAGTAAGTTGCAATTTGTATTTCAATACAGGTATAATCCAGAAGTCTATGTTTTCTTGTAAGTAATACTGCAATAGTTTCATCAAAGGGGTCTTATGAACTATTTTAAATCCATCAATGATCGAAAAAGGAAATCATCAGTCGGTTCTTGATTATTTGTACTTTGCTACTAGGGAAGGGGGTGGGGAAGAGCTTAAGAGCAGCATACCAAAAAGAAGTTAAAAAGAGAAGGGATGCTCACCTTGTCTTCACACGCCTCATCTAGAATATCAAGTGCCTCAGAAGAAATAGTTTTATTTTTATCATGTAACTGGGTCACCAGTAACTCAATCCCCCAGTTGCTGAAGAACTCTACATTAGCTCTCAGCAACACCCGTAAGTGTTTTGTTGCATACAACCTGCAGCTCTGCAAAGTAAGGAAAAAGGTTTCTTCAATGGAAGAAAAATAACTAACACAGTTCATGATTTTAGCTTCTAAAAATACCTTTCATTTATTGTATTTTGCAGCAAGCAACTGCGATGCACACCTTACCAAATAAAATTACAGTTTATTAGACAGCTATTTCTAGCTTAGCAAATGGGAAAATTGAATCTAAGATCACAAGTAAACCGGTCACCCTAAGTGTTTAATCCCATATCTTTTATTATTACATTATTTTGTAGAGATTTTAAAACCCAATTAAAAAAATTATAGTCAGTAGGGAGCTTTATCTTTCAATAAGTCAGTCCTTCAATCTCAACTATCTTCAATACTTTGACTCCACTCTTTATCCATAAGAATCATCATATCTTTGACAGTCTTAGAGAAATATCCTCAATTTATGTCCTCCTCTTCCAAAATACAGTGAGACATTTAAAGCTAGTACCTATATTTTTCTCTCTTGTATCTACTCTAGAACACATTCTGTCTGTTCAGACAAAAGAAACAACTTCATTTGAAGTAATGAACGTTCTTTAGTAGTTATATTTCAACCTCTCAGTTGTTATCTATCTCCCTGACATCAGTGCTTGCACGTCTAACAATGTTACCTTAAAAGTCAAGAGTTTCCTCTCCCAAATCCACCTAACTATATTTTTTTATCCCTATTCACCACCTTTGATTCAAGAGAACAAATCCCAACGCCTATTTCTGAACTAACCCTTCATTCCAGCAGGCATGACATCTACTTAACTCCAATGCCCTGAGTAAGCTCAATCATTCTCAGAACTGTATCTGCTACTAGAAGGCTAACATGCTTAGTGCTGCTAGGAATACAGATTTCTGTTTGTGACAACAATACCTTCAACAATAGATTTAAAACGCCACTGACCTAAACAATCACATTACACTTAGTTATACATATCAAGACTTAAGCCCCCATCATATATGAGAGAAAGCTCTAATTGAAGGAGTTAACTTCTTGAGCACAAACACAATACAGTGTATGAAGTTCACAACATGAACTACACTCATAGGAGTCTTATTTCTTTGAATACAAAAATAAGAACCCTTTTCATATATAACAGCTTAAAAATGAAGTCATACATCTTGAATAATAAAATAAATGTATAGAGGGCAATAACAAAGGAAGATAAGTTGAACTGAACTTACATCAGTAGCTGCTGTCAGGATTTTAGAAAGGATGACTCTTGCCAATCCATCTCTGCTATAATCCAGACTAGAAACAGTCAATTTTAACAAGTGATCTTGGTTCTTCAGAGAACAAAGATTAAGAAGACTGGGTGCATGGAAGGGACGGAAGAAGAAAATAAAACCAGTATTTGAACCCACTTGAACCATCAATAATTTGAACTTAAGTATTTTGAATTATACTTTTATTACTATAAATGTGGAATACAAAATATGTTCTTGTATGAAATGGAGTAACTTCAAATTGTTTTAACTATAAAGTCAAATAGGGATGAAATAATGCACTGAACTGCAAGCGGAAAACTCTAAACCAACATCTTTTATAACTGCTCTGCAAAAATTTTGTCAGCATATTCTGTGATTATATGTATAAAAATTAATGCTCATGAAGCTCTGTGAACAATTCTTCATTGTAAAACATTGTGCATAAAGCCTGCTTTCTAAAAATCAACAAACTTTTAAACTTGCTTTTGACTTTCTAAAAATCAACAAAATCAACAATAAAATATAGAGTACATGAAAATACTCGCATTTTTACTTAGAAATTTATCATATGTTGATAAACTAGTACTAGTCACTAGCCAATTTATTCTCAAAGGAAGCTAAGTTATTTCTACTGAAAAAATTTTGAGCTTCAGAACTTCACTCCAGTATAGTGGACTGAAGTTTTAGGTGCAATATACTTCAACATTTCACAGATATTATGGTACCTGCCATTTTTTCATGGTTTATGTATTTTGCGTTTTGTTTGTTTTTTTATTTCCCCACACTGCATCTTTCAGTACACTATAATCCTTCCTGATACTCATCTCTGTCATACAGGTGTGGAAAGGAAAAAGGAAGCTGTTTATGCCATAATCATCTCTGTCTGCTTAGTAATGACAGACTAGAAGACCTTAGAAAAAAAATGGGGACCTTTACCTGTAACTACAACAAAATAACCTTAAAGTTTCCAGCTTTTCAGATGTGGCCTTCAAAGTTTAAAATTTACATAACTATTACACTATAATTCAAACCAAATAAAAGTACTCACCACTGAAACACATTACATTTTTCAAGCATTTTCACTCCATGAGGGTGACAAGATAAAGTACCAAAAAACAGGAAGTAGTGCTGGCTAAGGGTATTTAGTAACCCATTATTCTGAAGACTACGTTCAGGTTTCATGCCTGATGAAGAGTTGAGCCAAAGTACAATATCTTTAACCAATTCCTCCAGGTAACCTTGTCCATCCTAGCAAGACAAAGAGGAATATCATATGTTAGTAATAGAAATGTGTCTCTTCTCTACTGAAACTCATTACTTTAAATGTCTTAAAATGTACGAACACAACACAGACACAAAACAGAAATGCAGGCTGGAAAACAATTCAGACTAAAGAAAAAGTTTCAGGGCAAATAAAAGGTGCTAAGCATGAAAACATCTTAGGACTAATTCTCTCTTTCCAGGAAAAGGACAAAGTATTACTCAATGACATCATTCTTCTCTGACCTGAGGCACAAGTCTTTAGAACAAAAGAAGTAGTTAGAAAAGGAAGGTTATACACAGCATAGATAATAAAAAAAAAATCCTTCAAGCTCTAAGTTGCATTTAACAAAGCTTATTTAATAAAACTTCTACAAAAACATAGTCATCTTCCTCAATATTTCACATTGTATTTCTTAATTACACAGATGATTTGAGATTTAACACCCAAAATCTCAGAAGTCTTTACCAAAAATTAATTTTTCCAGGTGGCATTCAGAAAGATTACTCATTCTACTTCCAGTCTTGCAGCTGAAAATGTCTTACCTCCTCTGACTCAAGAAGAAATTCCGTAAATTGACAACCAACAACAGTGAGCTGCTTTGCCTTGGCATAGTCCAGATCCAGGTTAGCATAGAGTTTACTGCTAGGCTTGTAAAAATAGAGCAATCTTCTTACAAACCTATAGGAAGTAAACCAGAATTGGCTATTTTTCAGTATGATAAGGACACTCTCACGATATAAAATTAAGCTAGCAGAAAAAATGGATTCTATATAACTTGGTTTCTTGGCAATAAGTCTTAAAAATTTAACAAAAGAGTAGCAAGTAACAGTAGTGGCTCTATCCAATTTTAGAGATACTGTTGTACTGTGTGTTATAAAGGGTTTTCTATATCATGACTTAATATAAGCAAAGGAACTTAAAATCCCTATGCTCTCAGAAGCTATAGTTTCCGTCTCATTCTCATAATTTATTCCACTGTAATTTATCCTGTTGCAAGTTTCAAAGATGATATTACCTAGACTAACAAACAGCTTAGAAAAGAAATTTGTGACCTGAGTTTTCTTCAGCTATTATAGTTACTGCTACCGACAAAAAACCATTTTCTTGTTCTGACAGGAAAAAGTCTCGTTTATTCAGTAACACTATTTCCAAACATCTCGCTTAACCATTTCTGAAGCATAACACAGTGATTGCTAACACATTCTGAGACTTCTTAAAATCACAATAAACAATGCAGGTTGAGTTTTGCATCACAGGAATAAGTCAAAGGAGTAACAGGAATAACACAAAATATTTCATCAAAATATTACATCCATCAGATATGTTAGGCATTAAGAAATCTTAATTACAGAATTGCACACATATTTGAAAAAGTCAGAGTAATCCACTACCTGTAACTCCAAACACAGGACCAATTACAAAGGAAAGCTGCTTAATTAAGTTTTGTCATGTAAAATGTATTTTATTCTGGGTTACTAGCAATAAATATACATGAACATACAAATGTGTACAGGTATGTATCTATGTGTATCATTAACTCTGTATGTGTGTTTATCAATGTGCATGTGTTCAGTTTTTGGGCCCCTTGGCACCTTCACTACAGGAAGGACATTGGAGTGAGTCCACAGAAGGGCAACAGAACTGGGACTAAGTCTGGAGCGCAAGTCCAGTGAGAAGCAGCTGAGGGAGCAGGGGGTTTTAGCCTGGAGAAAGAGAGGCTTGGGGAGACCTTAGTGCTCTTTACAACTCCCTGACCAGGAGGCTGTACCCAGGTGGGAGTGGTCTCTTCTCCCAGGTGACAAGTGACAGAATGAGAGAAAAAGGCCTCAAGTTGCCACAAAGAAGTTTTGATTGCATATTAGGAAATATTTCTGGACTCGAAGAGCGGTCAGGCATTTGAACTGCCCAGGGAATTGTTGCAGCCACCACTTCGAGAGGGATTTAAAGGACATACAAACGTGACACTTGTAAACATGTTTTAGCAGTGAACAGCAGGACTTGATCTTTGAGGTCTTTGTCATGGTTCTGTGATGCTGTGTGTATATGTAAACTGCATGATTTGTATTTCTATGAAATTAAGAAATCTTTTAAAAAATATCTGGATTTCACTTCAGCAGCTGTAAGATCATCATAACAACAGTAACATTAAAGAAGAGATCAATTTATGGAATGAAAAATAAGTGTAATTTACACTTGAAAAACAAAGCGGCAAAAAATTTTTTATCGCCAGCAGAGAAACTAGAGAGATTTGGGGCCTAGTTACTTACAACTGAACAGGAGCAACAGCATTTAAAAGCCATTAAGCTCCCAATTCTGAAGAAAGGGACAATGAACTATAATAGAAGCTTCGCACCAATTCAATTCTAGATTTTTCTCAATTTATTTGGATAAATTATTTAGGCACTGAACAATGTTTGAGTGCAGCACAAAACCATGGAACAGGAACACTGTTCCACATGGGTAGGTTGAGGAGTATATGTTGGTGCCACAGTCAGAACTGCAGACACTGCTTTAAAGAAACAATGTTATAAACCACCAGATTTGGAAAATAATCCTTTACGCTGAAGTATAGACTGGCAATTAACGTTTCAGGAAAACCCCGAAAAAAAATCAAAATTCATTTATGGTCACGATAACAATGAGACTACTGCTTATGCTGTAAATACTTCAGAAAAGTACCCTGACTACTTCTGGTAAAAATTTATAACAGAGTCATACAAGACTTTCAGCATATATACTATTTTTTGGGTTTTCCCCCAGTTCAGGAGGAAGCTTTTCATGCCTACAAATACAGACCTATTCTTCAAAAAAACGTAATCTCTGTCTGAAACACATGCTAAAAGGCACATCCAAGAACTAATTAAAAACACTATGACCACACAAGCACAAAAGTAATAAAAACATCTTACTGACCACAGACATGAAAGGAACACCAGAGCTGTACTGGAGGACTTTTGTTTGTTTTGTGTTTTTTTTCCCTTACACATGCTTCGCTTGCCTTTAATAGCAACTAGAAATAATTTCCTCTTGGTTTTTGATGAAAGCTGTAGTTAAAAAACTGTACAACTGTAGACTTAACTCTGTAAAAATTTTCCAAGCTCTGACATAAAAGAGTCCTGTCTGAAATATCAAGCAGTAACATTCCTAAGGTTTAAAATTAAATTTAGCATTTGCAAAGGTGGCATGACTCCTAAGGGACAAAATATATAAAGTACCTGCACACAGAAAAGAAGCTTAAACACCTGCTTATTTAAAGCAAAACTTGCAACTTAATTATACAAATTTACACCTCAGCTTATCTATAATTAAGTTTCAGAAATGTGATATATCTAGGGAGTGTTTTTTTGCAATAGTAAAAAACAGTTTTCCAAATTTATTTCTTCAAAGAAAGTCTACATGATTTTTACATACCTGTGCAACTGTTCATCTTTGTAGTTCCTTAGATTTATATTTGGCCACTAGAAAAAAACAGCAAATCTAGCATTATATATGAAACTTGTACAATAGTCCTTGATTAGTCAGTAAAAATCACTTATTTCTATCAGTTGTATTTACCTAATAATTAGAAAGTTTTCTCGCACCTAATGTTACATCTTAAAAAAGACATTATTTTATTGAAAAGCCCACACTGTCTGCTTCAAGAATTGCTCATTTCTTTTCTAGAGAAGGACAGGTAATGCTGGTCACGTGCCACATGTGCAAGACCACAATTCTAATGAAAACAAAAAAACTACAAGAAACTGATGAAAAACAAACAGTTTTGCCTAATTTCTTTTCTGCAAATAACAAAAAAAATTTATAAGCATAACTAAATAATTTTTGGCTGCTGTTTTGAATATTCATCAAATTTGGTTTAAAAGTTATCATTATTCTGTCACAGATCACGTAAGCGGTGCTTATTAAAATGGTATTTAAACTTCCTTATTGATACTTTGTAAGATGTCTTAAGAAGGACCACATGAAAAATAACACTCCTTTCTTCATTACACTTTCCTCTGTTTTTATGGCCATCTGTTGTCTCTATGGTTTCAGATTTCTTTGTGTTGCTACTAGTGATTATCTTCCAGTCAGGAATAGAAAAAGTGCATCAAACATTCTTCTTTCCTACCTATGTGACACAGTTCTACATTTCCAGTTGGTATTCCAATATTAAGACACACACCACACTAGTTAATGATTAGTAAAACTGACTACACCAAGTAACAGTGCCAGATTCAGATGAAGCTGACACTTTTGCCTCTCTTTTAGCAGCTTAGACAGCAAGCTGAGCAAGTGAAAAGGTAGGAAGGCACCACCTGAGATGAACACAATGAGGTGGTTAGAGAGCTGATGCTCCACAGACACAAGGCTACAACAGACAAGGGGGAGGTGAGCAACCACATGAGATAACAAATTTCAGACCCTGGGATCTGGATCCTGCTCATTAGAGGACTAAAGACGACCACTCTGGTAACATTATCCCAGTTTATGCTGGTGTTACACAGGAACAGAAATGGTTAGGAGTAAGTCAGAAAACACACAACGCTTCTCATTCACAAAGAAGTCCCCAATTTTCAGACATTAGGAACTCTTTGACAGGACACTAGAAAATACATTGCTGGGGAGGTCTGAGATGGCAGAGAAACTGGCTGTTTGACACAAATTTCAGTTTAAAAAAACCCAAAACACATTAGAGGTCAACTACATAAGGCTTCCACTGTCAAAATACTACACAGACTAATTAACAGTGAGATTCTGAAAAACAGGTGTCTGATAATATCTTTAATACGCAATCAAAGTATCTATGACTAATAATAGTTATCTAGTAACCCAGTACATCTTATAATGGCAGTTAAAAAGTCTGTAAACAGTGAAATCTGCTGGAGCAAAGCTACTGTCATATACATATTCAGGTCTTTATACCAGACAGATTCTTGCTCTTTCAACTTTATCGGTCCCTGAAAAAAAGGCACAGAAATATTTAGTTTCTTTTCTTTTTCTCAAAAAACACAACATAGTCTTGATTATGACTGTCACCATTAATCCTTTTTTTGTACTTTCACCATCTTTATAACAACACAGAAAAGAAGACAGTAAAAGAATGCTACTTAGCTGAAGGATGGCTTTGATGCACAGAATGACATTTTGGAGCAATTTTGGTTTGAAGACTACACTAAGTATTCAGAAAGTTTTCTTAGTCAAGCAAAGTATTACAAAAAGAGATAATATCTTAAAATCTACACATTAAATATATTTAATATATTTAAAACAATGCCCCTCACCCCATTAGGTATTTCTTTTATGATGTAAAAAGAAATTAATTCTGTCATTAAATTGATGCTACAGAAGTATTTGTATTAGTTCCAAACATCCAATGAAGTTCTCATACATGGTTCAATCTAAGCATATGAAGTTTGATCTAGAACCCATCTCTTACTATAACCTTCAGCTCACATTATTTTTAAAAAATCTGCTATGAATCTGAACATAGCAGTATCCCTCTGCAGTCTGAAGTATTAGCAGCTTTAAAGACCATATACCTAATTCTATAAAGTTGATTTCTAAATTCTATAAAGTTGATTTCTACACAAATAAAGACACAGAGCATTTAATATATGCTTCTTTGAAAAACTGTATATTTAACTATTGTGTGTTCTTGAATATAGTTTAAGGGTGGTATATAAAGAGACTATAGCACTGACTAAACCCAGGAGATTCTAATTTCCTGAAATAAAACAAATCATTACATGCACTCTGGAATGAGTATTAGAAAGTCAAAGCTCACATGTGAATCAGACTTTTTCCCCAAACAATTTCTTAAACATATTATCATGGCCTTTATAAGCTCACCTTCAGTATGGTCCCTATTAGATTCCAGTTCCAATCCAGGTTCTCTTTGTGATTGAGAACTTGGCTGTCTCGAAGATTCATGATGAGTGCTTCTTCTGTGTCCTGGAACACAGACATGAAAAATTACAGCAGGTTTCCCTGCATCGTTTTTTTCAGTCTTGCCACATGAAATACTTACTGCTTGTGTAAAAATCATTAAAAGGGGTGTTTTTCACAGTAATGTGCATTTGAAGGTAATTTTTTTGGTTACAAGACTGCATTAAGAACCTAAAAATAAGAGATTACAACTGGTCGCAAAAAGCATTAAAAGTTGTTGAAATTTCAGCCCTCAATTTCTAGAAATGCAATTTAGTATCCACAAGTACCCGCAAGACAAATGAGATACAAAAACACGACATAGAATCACACAAATGGTTCTGATTTACACTGAGTGAAGCTTGAGGGGTGCAATCCAAGTCTCCAGAACACAGTGTCAAATTCAGGTTTGAAAAATGAATTATCGTAATACCTTTAAAATAAAGATGTCTTTCTGCACACGGTACTGATCCCTTTTTTGGTGTGTTGAGATTGCTTTCTGAATAATATGATCTAAATGGAGGCTGTAAGGTTTAGGGCCTCTTTTCTTCATCTCGTGAAAACGTTTTAAGCAGTTGAGTGCTGCACTTGCTCGCCTAATAGAAAAAAAAAAAAATTATCATTTGGGTTTGGCAATTGTTACCAGACTAAAGGGGATCACTGCCTCCTGAGTAAACAGTTCAAGAAAGATCTCACCAACAATTCTGAAGCAAAGAAAATTATTTTCTTGAGATACATTTTTATACATCTGCAAGATTCAGTCTCATATTGAAATTATACAGAAAATTATCTTTTAGAGTTTCTAAGCACTGAAGTATTATCCTTACTGACAACTTTTCTGCTGCTCTGCAAACAGTGCTGTCTGTCACAGTTCAGAGAGAATATTGTAAAGTTTAAAGTTGATTTCCATTGTGAGATGTCACAGTAGATCAACATCCTGCAGTGAAACTGGTAGTTGAGAGCACTAGCTTCAACTCAGAGTAACAAAGTGTCTTTCACACATTCTCATCCCCGCCCAGCAAGGGTGGCAGTAGCATCAATAGTACACTTCCTGCGCTTATATCTAAACAGTTCGGCAACAGCGTGTTTCTGTTTTCTGGGAAAAGATAGGGAGTAACAAAAACGACAACCAAGAGTAAACCCAGTTAATTACAAAACAGTAGTAGTAGAAAGAAGCCCCACCTACTGAGCAAATAAAAATAAGGAAGTGTAAAAAAAGAGGAGTTAAGTCTATCTTTCTTCCTCATACACAAAAATTGTCATGGTGTAGGAGAGTACTTATTTTATTTTCAAAAAAGTACCTTTGGATTCAGTCACTTATCTGAATAATTAAAATTTAATCTGTAACACAGATTACAGTTTTTCAGACTATAAAGCAGAGTGCAGAGTGCTGACCAATGCCAAGATCCTCAAAAAAGTCTTCTGAAAAATCACTCTTTCAACAGAAAAGGGAATTCTTACTACTCTATCAGGTATGCCTTTTTTTGAAAACGAATGGTGTCACTGCACATCAAAATCTTTCACTGGCATATATGAAGCCTTCAAAAGTAAAAAAACAGAAAAGCACTGCACTTTTAGGAAGCACTCCACAAGCAGCATTTATCATTTTACACTAGAAGTTTGAAAAAATGCTGAAATTTATCACTGAGAACACAATGAAGGACAGAACATTATGATACACTGATCAGAATACTGATCTGACAAGACAGATCAGAAACGGCAAGAGTAATTAACAAATACATTTTTACAGGTAGAAGAAACTTCAACACTGTCAATTTGTCTTCTACAAAGAAAAGCAACTAAGAACAAAAAGTAGGAGAAATACATATTTAAGACATGTGACTTTATCAAATTATTTTACTTCTTCCATTAGGAAGTTTCAATTGCACAAAGTACCCATAAGAAGACATTTTGTGACAGAACTTCATGCTTTCAAATGTAACATAGAATTCTTACAGTCTTTTCTCTTTCATGATGTCAAAGGATGCAGCCATATTCATCAGTGTTGGTAAGCAGTGCAAGTGATGGCTGTGAGAATGAGGAAGAATTGTATTTGCCTACAAAAAAACCCAATAAAAGACCAGTTAGAAAAAGTTATTACAACAATTTCATCCATCTTTTTAGGATCAACATTTAAAGAAGCTACCGCTTTTCACAAGATTTTCACAAATTTGTGACAACAAAATTACCTTTTGCTTAATGTCAGAGCATAATTACACACTATTTGGAATTTGTGATCTAGCTAATCAAGCTGAATTACACTAGAAAGTAGGTAGAAACAACTTCAGATTTTTATAATAAATATTGTTTCCACTGCAGTTCAAGCTGTAACTTGCAAACACCTGCAAAGCATCAGATGTGCTTATGTCATACGCATAAAAGTAGTAAAAAACCCTAAAATCAGAAATGCAATTAAAGCTGATAATTTCTACTAAAGCTTTACTGCACAAGAAACCCTGATTAATTAGCATAACATTCTAAGTTAGTGGACATTTAACTGTTTTTAATAAATACATGTAGTTCTGCAAATATTTTTGGAAACTAAAGAACAAGAAGATGAAGAAATTACTTACATTTCCAAACACTAAATAAGCAGATAATTATTTTTTTTCAGTTTTAGAGAAACAGTAGTCATATCCGTTTAACAGCCCATCTCTTCAGAAAATCAAAAAATATCTGTGCTTTACAGAATACTCCAATGTGAGTTAACAATCACTCCCATTCAAAAGTATTCAGGAAACCAGAAAAAAAGCATATAATATTATAAAAAGCGAAGGCTGAATGTAGCACTGGAGTGTTTATGAAAACAGTATCATCATCTCAGTAAAAGATTAGTTTAAGAGAGAAAAGATACTGTAAAAGCTATCTTAGGTACACAGAAGTGTAAAGAAGCTTAAGTTTCCCTGCAGCAGGAGCACTCCACCAAGATGGAGCTGCCTGAATGAGAAACATCAAGTACCAAAAGCACATCAAGCTGAATATGAAAAACTTTTCATCTGTCTCCCCTGTCAGAAGACTGCTGACTATCATTCTAAGAAAAGCAAAAATTAGCAGTGGTCCTTTTCCTAAACACAGTTATTACTGGGTGCATTTGCAGGGTTCCAGCTTAAAATACAACTGCTGCTATGGCAAGAAAGTGTCCTGGTGAGAGTCAGAGCTACAGATAGCCTTGGAGCAGGATCTCTAGCACTTTCAGTACTTTCAAACAATCTTCCTATTGAATAATACTGGTTTTAATATATAAAGTGTCAGAAGACATAATGTGAAATTAATCCACTATTGAGATGAAAACTACATGTTTCAAGCCTAGAATACAATTTAATTCTATAATAGCAAATACCTATTTACAAGTAGTTACAAAGAGTGGTATTTACCATGTGCAAAAGCTCTCCCAAAAGTATAGTTGCTCTGACAGATACATGGTCATCACTGCTTGTGATCACTTCAACCAGACCCTTCAAAAAGCAAAAAAATATTACAACATTTAATGTGTAACATCTTACTTGAATTCTTGCAGGAAAAAAGTAGCAAGTATCTATTAAAACTGAAAGTCATTAGTTACCTCTAGAAGTCCATTGGTAATAAAAGCAGAAAGCACTAAAGCCAAGTAATTGTCCATGAGATCAGGCCTAAAGAGGAAAAAAGTATGGAAACAGTTTAGAAAGCACATTTCTTACTATTCTTGCAAGAAAACAAGAAATGTTTTGTGCACACTGCCACAAAACAAAACATGAAGAATGGTTTAGACTAAGTTAAGTTCATTAAAGTCTCACCTTGATCTGGCTCGATGGGGTAGAACAGTTTTAGCCTCAGCAGCTACAAAGCCATCAGAAAGTCTCCAGCAGTCTTGAAATCTTCCTGGATCTAGAACAAGAAAATACGGACAAATGGTAATTATAATTATTGGCTTTCACTGTATTATTTTAGTGGCAGTCAGTATGTAAATAATAATCTTTGTCCACAAATGGTATTTCAGGTGGTTTCAAATTACAGAAAATTTTGTCAGAGGGGATCTCTATCAAGTCCTGAACAAAGCAAGGGTACCTGGCAAGCCAGGACCAAGATTGTATCTAAGTGTCAACAAAAACAGTGATATTTCCATTTCATAAACACATTAAATATGTTTAACAGAAAATACCATTAGCACCTCAAATGTTACAAGGTGCATCCATATATAGAAGTAGCAAGCTTCCAACAAAGAATGATTTATTTACTTATAAATTTTTAAAAGTAGGTAATTCTCTTGGGTTTACAAAGGTATAATTCTAAAGGTAAAATAATAACTTGGTTAAATTTAACGACATGAAAAAGAATGCACTTGCCCTCAAAAAAGCAGAAGTCAAGGACAATGGGGACAGCTAACAGACAATATATAGGACTGCCTAATAACTTTTCTGTAGTACTAACTAACACATTCACCAATTCTGAGTACTCCTAACAGTTCAAAGAAGTCTAATCTGTAGTGCTCACCTAACAGTCTTTTGTGTTAATCCAAACTAAGCTGATCTTTCATCAAACTTACAACACTTAACAGGTAATAAAGAATTTTAAACAGGACTTCAGAGCACCAAATATATTATTCAGTGATAACACAGTTAACACTAAGGCAATTTACAATACACAGGAGACAGCTAAGGTTTCAAATTTGTATAGGACCTTAATAGACAGAATTCTTATGTCATCTGTTTTAAATACTTACCTACACTGAGAAGTGCCTCAATAAATTCTTCTGCAATAACAGGGAGAGGAAGGCGAAATATATCGTAGAGAACTTCAAGCAGACCTCGCTACCAAAGAAAACGTAACACAACAGAATTTTACATTTACAGAATTGTCCCTTTTTTCACTATTAATATTGACCTACAGTGCTAACAGTGATATATTTGTTGTGGTGGTTTTTTTTTTCACAAACTGAAATAAACTGGAGAAGAGAGGAAGGGGCTTTTCTACTTTTGAATTGTCCCTTATTGTCACTATGAATGCCATAGTAGGTTCAGGTTACTTGGTTTGCAGATTTTTAGAATAGTTATATCTGGAACCATCAACTTCTATCTAGTAAGTTTAACTTGTGAAGAAATATTTTTATTTACCTGGAATTCAACTTTGGTTATTATGCTTCAAACTTGCAACTGCAGCTACTGTAAACGTGCTTTGATTTGTCAATAGAATAAAAATTACTTTATGTACTTTTCTCTCCTCCATTTTGTCACACATACATAGTGTCCTTCCACATCTCAGAGGAATTTTGTAACAGAATTACAGACTTGAACTTTGGATGTTAAATAAACTCAAGAACAGCTGTCTCATAACTGGAGTCTGTGTTTATTTATACCATTAATATGTTAAAAATAATAACTTAATTAAAGTTTTAAGTATTATTCCTATATCAGTACTAAATATTCACCACCTACCCGGATTTCCATGTTTGGTATACAGAGTACCCCAATAAGAGACTGAATCCCAGAATTTCCAGGTTTGCAAAGGCTGATAATACCTAGAAAACATGAAATAATATAATAATATTCCCTCATCAACAAAAGAAAGGATAATAGACGCGTTGTTAAATTAGATTTCCAGGTTGAAAACAAGCACACATGAAAAATATTACTAATCATAAACATTTTCACCTTTATAATATCATCCCCTTGCCAATCAATAACATTTAACAAAATTTCATAATCACAGAACTTTATCTCCTCATTTTACAATTGTGCTACTTTTGTCCTTCCTACTGTGAACAGTACTCAAAATTCATCTGCGAAAACTACATACATATGGAAGAAATGACAAAAAGACAAAACTGTCTGTAATGAGTAACTCTTAAGCCTGAAAGGTTTTCATCAACCGAGCAGAACTGTAAGGAATTTTAATCAAAAGTTGTATCTTAACCAAACAAATTAATTCATTTCCTTTTAGTCTCTGGTGAATTCTAACAGCTCTTAGATCTAAGGGCCTGAGTCTAGGAAGATGCAGTTACACCTATCAGGAACTGTTTTCTGGAAGTTTCAAAGTCATCACATGCTTCCTCTCCAATCATGTGAGAACACACAAGAAACTTGAAGGATACCTGGATATTAAAATTAAGCTTAGTGATCATTTTCAGAACTTAAAAAATAACACCAATGGTGTCACAGAACAGCCTAAGTGGAAAAATCCCACTCAAAATTGTGTTAAATGTTTACATTAAGTGATTTACATTTGCAGGACAGTGTCTTGACAAAAAAAAGCAATCCTCGAGGCAATACCTTCATCTTCCATACGGAAATATCACAGAGAAAGAATTTAGTAAAATGAAAAAAATTACTTTTAGGATTTAGACATGTCTTCTACGTGAAAAAATGCAAATTATGTCCATTTCTAATTTGTCTTCAGCTATGGCAGCTGGTAAAAGCAGGAAAAGCATTTGCCAATATCTCTTAACACAGACAAAACGATTTCATTTACAGTGGCAGAACCATCTCAAATGTAAATTCTTATGATATGATGTTATTTTAAACATCCTTTCACCCATTAGATCTCAAAAATGACCATCAAGATGTAATTTTTTCAGGGAGGGGGAAAGCTGTGCCTTGTCAGGAGTCCAAGAAAACTAGTTTTTGCATTCTGCAATTTTACAGTATTAAAACACATATTAAGTAGCACCGTAGGAAGGTATTGATAGAAATTAGACCTATCAGATGAGTCAGATCCTATGTCATTTATACTAGAAAGTAAAATCACACTTCCAATCATTCAGTTTCAAATAAATAAACAAATCTTACCTGCCCATGATCGAAATGCTGCCACTATTCCCATTTTACTAGCTAGGAATCGTGCTTCTCTGTCCTCTCTGCCATTAAAACAACAAATGTCACAATGTAGATAATAATTACAAAATAAACAGTATTAGAGAATTATTATTATTACAGTATTATTATTAAATGATAGTTAACTGAGATGGGGGACAAAATCCAATGTAAAATAAATATTTTATGTATGCATATATATGTACATATGTATTTACACAATGTATATATACAGAGAAAAGGTTTCTAATTTTTAATTATTGTTACTTTTCCTCTTCCAGGGGAGTTTCCACAGGAGAAGGATAACATCAAAAACACCTACAGGGGTCATATTAATCATTCTGTACCTCCACTGACACTAAGTCTACAGCAGAGATGTAAAGATTTGGACCTTATTCAGTTATGTAGACCTAAGCATCTGATCCCATTTGATAATTAAAAAATCCTGAATAATTCAAGTTGGAAGACATCTCAGGAGATCAAAAAGTCACCAGTTATCAAACTAGGCCAGAAACATAGGATGCTTTGGGTTGGAAGGCACCTTTAAAGGTCATCTAGTTCAACTCCTCTGTAAGAACTCAACAAATGCAGTGCGTAGCACACATTCCTTTTACAGTGTCCAGAGCTTTAGGAGGTATACAAGCTTCTGTAATTCAGCTTGGATTATCTGCAAAAAAACTCAAGGCTTTATCCAGCTGGGTGCTAGAAACTCTCAGGAATGGAGGCAGCAGGACCTCTCTGGACAACCTACTCTAACTCTTGACCAACCACATATAAAATCATCTTCCCTGCCACTTACAGAAAGTTGAAATCTTTCTGGCTTCAATTTGTCTCTGTTGTTTCTTGTCCTCCCACTTTACACCACTATTAAGAGCCCTAGCTACATCATCTTGAAAGCATTTTCAGAGGAAGTAAAAACGTCGTTATTCAGCAGAGGGCTCCCTCGACCCTCTCCTCTGTAGGCTAAAGAAGCCCTTTAAAATCTTAAATGCTTAACAGTATTTTAGAAAACTGTACTCTGGCCTACTGTATTCAACTTCTAGAAATTTAGTAATGGAATAATATTGGAATTAATGTTTGGGAGGAAGAACAGCTTAATTCCAATACTATGAACATAACTGATAGCACAAGTAGCAGCAGTAACACTTACTTGAGCTGTCCTTCTGCTGTGTCTGGATTATGCCTGTAGTGAAAATCTGTGTAAGGGGCTAAAATTCGCTAAACAAAAGAAAGATATGCATTACTTTCACATGAAAACACAGTTGAATCACCACTGCCCTTTCCTCAGTCCCACTCCAAACTGTTGGATTATTCCTGATTCATACATCTTAGGCTCTTAGCCTGAAACATTATCTTTTAGACACTCTGCACTAACACAAAAGAAATCTGAGACAAAAGTAAAACATTTTAATGAGTAATAGTGTTTAATTTCAGTCACTAAACAAGTAAAACTGCACTCACCTCTAATTCTACATCTGCTCGCACATACTGTCGGGTCTTTGGATGATTAATGAGGTGCAAAACTGTAGTTATCAGAGCCTCATTTATTCGGCTTAGCTGACAGTCAATCACATTTTTCAAGATGGTACTTAAACCACCCCGAAGAGCCACCACCTCAGGATTCTGAAGTGCTAGATAAAGGAAAACAAGTCGTTTTGGCCAGTGATTGAAGATAAAACACTTCGCGGCATACGACAAACTTGCCATCTCAAGTATGGAGATCTTATTTATCCTGAACACTGCTGAGGCACATGTAAAGCTTTTAATGGAACTGGCTGACACTGGCAATGAATTGCAATTTTGGATTAATTTACCATACACAAAAATACTGGTCACTCAATCTCCAGCCATTTCTCAACTTAACTCCCAACCAAGTTCCCATATAGTGGTTTCTGGATTTCCCCATAAAGAGTTTTTATGCTTCACAGAACCGACAAAGATAAAATATTTATACTGAAGTAAGAGTAATATTTTGTTTATTTCTTTAAAACAGAAGCTTTAATCTTGAAAACAAATTGCTGAAGTTATTTCCCTGAAGTTATGCTGAAATTATGATTGATTTTGAAAACCTTCAAAAATCAGCAGCCAAATGAAAGTTTAGGGAGCTAGTATAAACCACTGTCCCGATAACTACAGTAGTCACCCCAAAAATTTTTATAAAGGAAAATACTCTGTAGTTCTCAGAACTCTTCAAAATTTGTCAGCATCATGTGTATGGAAATCTCCCTATTTCAAATCCATTAGTTTAAGGAACACCAACCGCAGTAGAGAAATGTTTTTAAGGCAAACCAAAAACTGTCAAGTCTTGAAAGAAAGATGAAAACCTGAAACCTTTGCCTAGGATACATCGATAGATTTTAAATAATTTTGGTTTATATCATGCTAATAACCAAAATCCATGAAACTGACAATAAGAACACTTAATATCTAATTCCTTATAAAAAAAATACTGTGAATGACAACCATATCAAAACTGAACATGAATTAAGAAAAATCATCTTACCTAGTTCACAGATAATGGCTATACATGCTCGAACCATTCTGTCTCTTTCTTGAAGACCATCATTTCCAACTGCTATCAAAGAATTAGTAATAGAACTGGGGAACAATGAAGCATTCACAGTGATCATCTGCCGAAAAGGAAAGAAAAAGTCCTCTGATTTCTTTATATTTCTCTAAATACTCTTACATATTTACCAGCATTCTGTTCCCTACATACAGTTAGACAGAGTAGTCCACTTATTACTTGGTCGTATCTGGTGAATCTTCACAATTTTTTCTTTTGCTCTTGAAATTTTTTCCATTTCAATTTCTTTGTCAATTACCATTCTCTTCTTGCTTCAGTTTTTGATTTTTATATTATATCTTAATAAGAAATAATTTAAAAGATGTTTTTTGCAGTGAGAATTAAGACTAGTTTCATCATAGTTTTTTTTTTCCCAAGAATCTCTTTATTGACAAAGAACATTATCCAATGACACAGAGTAGACTACAAACTCATCTTTTATTAAGGACATTCTGCACCACACAAAGCCTCAACTGTAAGCCTGGAACACTCAGAATTCACACCAGATTAAGGAGCAAAATGTATTAAAGGTAAGGAAAGACACTTCTCAACAACCAATACCACCAACTCTTCACTGTCCCCCAAGTCAGGCTTTTATTATAAAGGCTGAGCAACTGCTTGTTCACATTTTTTCAATTTGTGAATATTAAATACACATATCCTTCCGGAGCAAGAATATCACTAAACAGATGTATTACTAAGGAGGAAGCAGGTTTTTGTCTGGCTGCCTAAAAAGGGAACAGTGCAATCTTTTATAGCCCAATCAGCCATGTCACCTTTTTCTCTCTCTTCTCTTTCTGTCACTGTTTTCTCTAATAAATAAAAATGAAACATAAAAAAATACTCAATATCCATCAAACATCTAAAATTTAACGGTACTTTCCCATGCTTTTCTTATCATCTTTATTGACTTGTACAAAACAAGGCTTATCTTTGTAATTCTTCCAAAAACATTTTGTCTTGTATCCACTTTACATTTCCCATAGATGTGTTATAGGTATTTGTGCAAAATTAGTTTTTTACCTTTTTTTGCAGAGAGAGGATCAACCATTATGATCAAAATATTGGAAGAGTTTAAACACATCTATCTTTAAATACATGTTTTTAAAGAAGCTTCTTGTTATACACAATGTTAACGCCAACAAAACAGGAAGCTTTAAGATAGGACTTTAAGGAAAAAACAAATTCTCTCCCACCCACACAGTCTTTCACTTTTACACTGGCAAGAAGAAACAAGAATAAGCAATAGAATAGGTGCACCAATCCACTCTAAAACCTGCAACTGCAACTGATATCAACATGGTACTTCCTGTGAGGACACAAGCTGTTCTGCTTCACTGTCTTCTTTAAGACACGAGAAGGAAATGTTTCTTGTAATACTCAATTCTAAACACATCAGTAGAATAAACAATTTTCTGTATTTCCTTGTATCTGCTCTAGGTATTAAAATGCAGTTCTAAAGACCAAGGACAGGTAATGGAAAGCTACTTACATGTAGCTAAGATGAAATAAGTAATAAAGACAATGAATTTGGTCTTTTAACCAAAATTAACAATTTATATTTCTTTAGAAAACAGGAAGAAAGATGATGGTATATACTGCATGTAACCCTGACTTCTGCTTTAAAAAGAAAACACCCAGATTGTTAAATTTTTTAAAAAATGTCTTAATGACTTCTATTAGATAGAAAAATGCTTCCTGAAGCAACTTCACTGCACCCTTTTCATGGCTTAATATATTACTGAATTGTAAAGCTTTTACCAGAAAATGTAGAGGTAACTGCAGTCAAAACAGGCAGTGAGCACACAGCCTTCAAAAACTATTGGACATCAAGTTTAAAAAATCAGATTTTTTCAATCTTCCTACACCATTTAAACCTAATATTTTTTAAAACAAATTTATGATTGCCTTTTCTAAATTCATAAAGAAATACTAAAAATACAAAATATTTTATATTTTGTTGTTCTTCTCTATGAAAAGAAAGAAAAGAGAAAGTTTTAATTTTAATCTATGTAATTCTCACAAACATTTTTACTACCAAAGATGAGGTTAAAGAGCCAAATCTTGAAACTGAAAACAATAGTTCTGTCATACTGGAAAAACCCAGTTCAGTTTCAGTAAATTATCTTCTGAACAAGTTTGTTAGCTTTTTCCCTTTCATTTGCCATTCATTCTTCCCTTCTAGACCTTTACATAATCCTTTAGGAATCCTGGAATCGAATCACTAGTCTGAGACATTGAGGGAGATGAAGACAGAGGCAGAAAAAGGGCAAGAGTAGGGCAGCAAAAAGACAATGTGAAAATACAGAATGTGCTATTAAGGAAGCACAGTATTTCTTCAGAGAGTACTGATTGCTCTATTCCAATGCATGCTTAACTGTTGTGGGCTAGACAGCACATGAGAAAGCTGTAAACTTCAGTGGTAGCAGACTAGGTGGCTTCTGTTGGTCAAACACCAACATCGAAAATAGAATGCTATAGGTATGTAGCAAAAGATGCTAGAAAAGGCTTTCCATCAACATAGTTCTCTGCATCAAAGAACCACAAACGTGGCTGCACAGACTGGATTCGATGCACACAGCTGGTGTACGCCAATACCCTTGCAATATGACGGAGAAAAAAATCCACCAAGGGTCAGCTGTATGATTTCTTTAATATTTCTCTTTGACCATCATTTATTCAGATCAAACCAATGAATTTGTTTCTCTTGCTATCTCTGCTTTCATGCAAGACGGAAGTTTTTGCTTAAGTAGGAAATGCTCAAAAAAGCCCAGAAATAATGAGGACAAATTTCTGATGCAAATAAAACCAATTATGGATGTGTTTCCATCTTCTGATTTACATTATTGAGTCTATACTGAAGCTGTTATTTCAAAGTAGATTTGCAAAGAACTTTTATAAAGTGCAACTTCCTCAGGGATCTGTTCCTTTATAGTAGGGCTTTTTTGTTTGTTTTTTGCTTGTTTGGGTTTGGAGGTAGCCATGTTCAGTATTTAAACCCCTCTTTTTTAGCACATGTGTTAACCGAGTACATTGCATCTTCTGTAAGACAGAAAACATACTTAGGTAGATTTAAAATATAACAAGATTTAAAACAGAGAGTGCTCCTGGGGAATCATTCTTCAACTACTTCAAACTTTACTTCAGTCTTTGGTAGTTTTTATAAGAATACGAGAACAATAAAGAACAGTGAAGTCCAGCACAAGGACAGGACATTGTTATGCTTCCTGAATACATTTGGTACCTCGACATGCCAATTTCTCTAGGATGAACTTGAAAATGCAGCTACTATACTTCTAAATCTCACATCCATGGGTACACAGTACAGTAACTATCACAGACTAACCATGTTTTATTGAGTATCTGAGACAAAGCCCTACATGGATAGCATCAACTGCCACAAACAAAGCATTAAGTCTATAAGCCTTGAGTGATTACTTCAGTGACAATTTGCCTCATTTCTCACATGGCAGAAATCTCACTCACAGATGCTTAAACAAACTATAAAATGAAGTCATCATAATTTCAATATTGAAACTTAATATTGTTTTTATGCCCTTGCATTCACTCTTTGATAGGTGTTTCCCAAACCTTGCCCAGGTTTGGAAAAGCAAGATTTTTCCAGTGCACTTGAGATGCTAAATGGTAAAACTGTAAAATCTAAACAACTCTCTTCACTACATTTTTCCTTTAAATTATCAGCCATATTACATGATTAAGATAAAGCAAGGTATTAGAGACTGTGAAAAAGCACTGTTGATGGAGACAAACAAGAGTCAGCACAACTGAGTGGCACAGCATATACAATCATAAATAGGATATTTTACCTTTCTGACTAATCGAAGTGCTTGTGTTCTTTCTACTTCATTACTCTGCTGTATGTCAATGCACCTAAAATAAGTTTAAAAACAGATTTTGTTTATAACAACAGTAACTTTCACCTTAACTGTTTACAACTCGTGTTAATATTTATGCTTATCAGCACAGAAGAAAAAGAATTGACTTATGGTTTAAAAACTACACTTTTCAGCAAACACACTCATTATGATACATCAGTTAGTTTTAGTTTATATTTTCTCAGCTATTTTCATTACAATCAAGTCAGTAGAATGTTCTCAAATATACAGTGGCAGAGCATAATGCTTTAACAACTATTTTCCAAGCTAGCTGCATTTGTGACTTGCAAATGAGACCACACCAAGTATTTGTAATGTTTCACATCAACACACTTTGAGTGTTCTCAGATCAGAAAGTCCTTTTACTCCAAAAAAAATTAAACAGCACACTAAAACTACGTGTGTATATTTATAAACAGAAATTCACACACATCTGTATCGGCATATTAAATAAAAAATTTAATTACAGGAAACACTAGAAATTCTATTATTTACATCTATTCATCATGCTGATTTTATTATCTCACCGTTCGTTTGCCCTTCAGTACTCTTCTGTTGTATCATTGATTATATTTAGGTCACAAATTCTTGGACATCAACTACTTTTTAGCCCTGACTTTGTATTGAAGGCTCCAGTGATAATACAAAGAATCAAACAAATCCCACACAAAAATTTAAGACATGAAGTTTATTTAATATTTCAACCTTATTAATTTACAGTTAATGGTATTTATGATTAAAGTAAGAAATTCTTTGGATTACTTGTAATATATCATATATTAGGATAGCATTTTATTTGGATTAGCTAGTGCATATAAAACTACTTACCAAGAACGTAAGAGAATATGAAAATACTTCTTCTCAATCATGAAAATGTAAGTGATTTAGGACTTTACAACAAGAACAAAGAGGAAAATTACCTGGCTATCAAATAATCCACTTTCAACTTTAGCACCTTCTGGAGAATACTGGAGTCTCGAATAAGATAGCGGAGGGCTCGCAATCCTGCTGCTCGCACCTCTTTTGCTTCATTTAGTAAAGCTAACCTCAGACTACAATGAAGAAAACAAGAGGGATAAACAGTCATTAGGCAGATAGACTTCACCATCTACATGCAGCTACTACCCACTCATTTAAGATGAAAAAAAAGTATGATTTTTAAAAATAAATGTTCTGAATTGATTTTCTGACTTTCAGGTCTTCTCGTGTGCAACCTAGAAAGCAAGTCCTCATCCTGGCTAGCAGATGTAGACAATATATTTATCTTAAAAAGCCACAAATGAATTTTTCCCCCAAGTAACACCTTGTACATACAAGAAATGACACAGAACGAAAACCTTTATACAACTTGTTATTTGAAAAACAGAAGAAATACTGACAAAACCAAGAAAATTAAGAGGTAGAATAAGGTAAGTAAGAAGAAATTATATATGGAAGAACTCTAGAAGTGGAGTTAGAAAGCACAAGTAGCACACTATTCCTTTGAAGGCCCTCAAGAGATTAGCTCCTCTTCACGAATGACATGCAGGGTGCGGTGGGAATCCTCAACCTCCCAATGACATTTACTAGAAGAATTTTTACTGGACATCTAAGAATGTAAATACTTCAGCCAGTGAGACTGGATTTCTACTTCTATAAAGGACTTATTTTTTTCTCTCCTTATCCTAGAGTCGTCATACATGGTAATCAGCTACTCCAAGGCAAAAACTCTTCAGCATCTTTTGGTGAATACCTGGCCTGGGTAAGTCACTGTAACAAAAGCCTACTCTCAAGTGAAAGGCTGCCATATCATTTGCAATAAAGACAAACTGATTACTACTTTCAGCACCAAGCAGGAAATTGCTTCAAGACCATCTTTCTTGTAATATGAATGCACTGCCCACACTACTTTGGATGCAGCCCAAGACACAGCTGGATTTCTGGACTTCCAAGACTGGACATGGGACTGCTGACTCATGTCCAGCCTCTTGTCCAGCAGCACCCTCAAGTCCTTCTCAGCAAGGCTGCTCTCAATCAGTTCAAGCCCCAGCCTGCGTTGATACCAGGTGTATTCTTGATACCAAGATCTTTGAGCCCAGCTCCTGGCCCTGTACAGGACAATCTCAAGGGTCACACCATGTGCCTAAGAATGCTGTCCAAACACTTCTTGAACTCTGTCAGGCTTGGGGATATGACAACTGCCCTGAGGAGGCTGTTCCACTGCCCAACCACCCTCTGTGTAAAGAATCTTTTCCTGATATCCAATCTAAACCTCCCCGACACAACTTCAGGCCATTCCCTTGGGTCCTGTCACTGGGTCAATGAAATGTTCAGTGCCTGCCCCTCCTCTTCCCCTCACGAGGAAGCTGTAGACCAGTTAAAGAACTGGCACAGTGAAACCACTACAAAGGACAAGACTATGAGATTTAATACACAAAAGAAAAAGCTATGAAAAAGATATATGTCACCATCTTTAAGTATGCAATGAAAACACACAACTAGTGAAAAAGATAAAGACATTTTGCTCAAGGAGCAATTAGCTTTCCTAAGCTCTTTTCCTTAAGTGAGACCTAAATTAAAAGAACACAGAAATGCATTAAATATTAGACCTTATTTGCTTTTGTTACCACTGCTGGTCTTCAAGACAAATGTGCAAATTTCTGTGTGAAAATAAGCATGTACAACTGACAGTCAGAAACAGCCACAAAACAGACAGAAATTCCACTTATAATATACATACAGGGCATGTCAGTAGCAGGGAAAGCAATGCTACATGGACAAATACATACCAATACAACATAAATATTGATCTTTAAATCCTGGTTCTGTATCGAGAGTAACCTCTGTATTGTGTAGATGTACATTTTTATTAGAAGTTCTTTCTACAAGGACTGAAATATTTAGAGGTACTTTTAGATCTGTGAGGAATATAATGAAGAAATCTACACTTCTGCCTTGAAGGGCTTGTTTCTGCCCCAAAAATAAATAATGTATTTCTGATTTTACTCATTTAAATATTTGCAGGTTATATACTTGCATTATGAAATTTCAAACACATTACAAATACAAAATACGATCTCAAAAGTACAAATAAAGTTTATTTAATTGCACTGTAACAAAGTTCCCTAGTATTGCTTTAGTGCTCTTTACTACTTACCATATTATGATGCTGTCATAGGTAAAACCTAACTTTTCTTCAGCATGGCCAGTATTACAAAGAAGCTGGAAACAGAAGAAAATACCTATTATTTACAGCTCTCCAAAAATGACCATGAAAACCATATATTTTGGGAAATGCTTTCAAAAAACCTGTGGAATTCAATTTGTAGCAAAGGAGAGAGTACCAGCTTCAGACTTCTCTGAGAATTTTGGCTGTCTGGATTGCGTTCCTATACACATTAAATACAGAGATTCACCTGTGTATTTTCATACCAAAAAAAGGTTGCACAGTTCTGTAAGCTGTGTACTGGTTGGCTCATTTTACACCACCAGATTGCTAGCTGGCAATTGGTAATTCGAGCAAGAGCAAAAATTACTGAAGTCAAAGCAAATCTGCAGGGGCTCAGGTAAGAGTTTTGAAACAGACTGACTCTGATGGTCCACTGCCCTGTTTTGTCACAGTAGCACAGAAGTATAAAAAAAAAAACAGAAGGCCCGAGTGTCCTGTAACTGACGTTTGGTCTTGGCCTGCCATCCATTCTACAGAAACTTGTACCTCCGAAAAATCACAGCAAAGGTTGAATTTACACACACAAAAAGACAGCTATAAACTGTCACAAACTGGACACTTAAGTCGTATCTAGTCATTGTGAACAGAAAAGATTTACAAGCACCTTTTTTAAGTCCAAAACCATGCTTACAAGGAGCAACCTAGGTCACCAATGTTTCATTTTAGCCTCTTGAGGAAAGGAAAACAATCTCTTCTGTAAGAAGAGCTGATGCTGTTCTTCTTTTCAAGAGCAGAAAAGAAATTCTTAGTAATCTCATTTACTATTCCTGGCTAAAATTATAAAATATTATCATGTCCAAATCCCAAAGCATTTTTGTAAGCACTTCCAAAAATGTAAGTGACTAATACTGATTGCAATAGCTTTGCACTTTGTCCTCCGTTTTCAAAACAGCCAAGTGTACAGTTCTAAGTCAGCACAGTATTAAGTTTCTCCTCAGTCAGGAATCCCGGAAGTATTTGTGCTAACTAGTCATTACCTCTGCTCTGAAAATATTGCAATATATCAAACCCTGTGACTCATTCTTTATATGTATTTACTGCTAACAATAAGAAATTTATAATAAACAACACAAAGAGCCAAATCAAGGTTAATTTAAAATATTTAGTGTGTTCCGTGCCTCAGTTTTACTGTTTGCCTCCTACTGAAAATATGGCATATTGCACAGAATCTCCACTTTTAAGTAAACCCGTTTTATTAGCAAGATCATTAAAATTCAAATAATACTTAGATTTATGCTCAACAAGTAGAAATTAATTTAGTGATCACATTACATCTTACGAAATTGTCTTTCAAGAAAAATACCTAGTGATAATGTGGAAATTTAAGGCTGTTAATGAGAGATTATTAAATTGGCCTGGATCACCTCGACGTTTCGACTCAAATAATTTAAATTAACTGAAGTATTTTGGATTTGGCATTTTTCTTTAACAAAGATGATTATAAAACATAAGGAAAGTTTTACATAACCTTTTCTTTACCACCTTTCTAATTTAAGTAATAATAAAACTAGACAATTGATGCACTAACTGGTTATGACAGTATGTCACTTCCTAACATCAATCTATTTTTATGCCATGTTGTTGGACTGCCTAAGGCCAGCACTGCTGTTTTAGCATTTCTATTGACATCTTATGAACTGTAAAAATTGGCTGGCAGAGTGTAAGCAAAACAGTGTGAGAAGATAGCGAGTAAAAACAGTTCATTGTTCAGTTACAGACAGTTACATCAATAGTTGTTTAGGCTAATCATTTATACATCTAAACCTCGCCCCAGCATTCCACCCCAGACAAAAATGAGAAATCCTAACTTAACACAACATATTGTCCTCAACAGTCTATTTTTCCCACTTTACAAAAACCCATAGAATTTTAATTCTGATGTAGGAAAAACCCATCTTTCAGAAAGCTGCTATAATGTGCACTAGTGCATTAGTGAAGCTAGTCTCCTATCACACACCATTGGTTTGCATCTTGAGCAGTCCTGAGATTAAACTGAAGCATTTGACATGTTCCAGGAACCCACCTAACTTGCGGCACTGCTAAAAACCATTCAGTTCACTGGACCAGCTCTAGTCTGGTTTGTCATTCTCACCAAATATATACAGTGGTTATTAGCTCCTCAATGCCAACTCTTTTCACCTATATGTGCTCCCACTGTACGCATCTTCATCGATGCTAAAAAGAACTTGACCTTATCTTGAAATTCAAACAGAGTCATGTAATCTGACAAGTTAAAACTCATCAAGTTTAACTGCTGTTTGGATATAAATTTCTGAACTTGACAGTAATGATTATAAAAGTGATGGTGTCTGAACATACATTTGAAATACTTCTCCCACAGAAAAGAAAATAGCTACTAGTTTATTCTCCCTAATAAAATAGTGGGACACCACTACTTAAGCATTCGCTTTCCTTGTAATTTATACATGCTCCATATAGAAAAGGGCCTAAAAAATGGACAGCAAGATCAGAATTCAAGAATGTTTCAGTAACTTGAAATGAGTGCCCAAACCCAATAAGAAAATTTAACTAAATAATAGGAACAGCATATCCTTCAGGGTACTACACATTAACAGACACACAAGGAATGAAAGTAGGCCAGCAGAGAAAAAGAAAATGTCCATCAATTAACATTAAGAATATTAATTTATAACAAAAAATAAAGCAAAATTTATCTCTGGAAATACTAATAGGACTGCATTATGTCTGAGATTAAAAGACTTTTTCCATTTCACAGGTTACTCTCAAAAGTGCAAGAACAAAATTTTGTGTGGCACATCTTAAGAGCAAAGTGGAAAAAGTGTAGCAGAAAAATGGACAAGGCAGGTAGAAAATCCACCCATGAAGGCTAAGCCACTTGGTTTTCTTCAATCCAGGGGAAAAAAAAACCTGCCTGGTTAGGCTGGATTTCTGTAAGTTTGAAAGGGGGAAAATTAGTTATGGAAGTGCCTATAAAGAACAGACTGTTCAGCTGGTCCCAATTCCTTGGGTATTTGCTATGTTATAAATGTCTGTCTTTAAATATATTATACTAAAAAACATTCTTGATTTCTTCCCATTTCACCTTCAAACAACACTAAGCAGATCAATGATTCTGGCCCAAATGCAGTGATATCTGTAGAAGGCTGAATTTCTGACAAAGCCGAGTAACTGTCATACATTTGCCTCTAAGATTCAACAGCTAACTAACACACATACCATGACGACATAACTCTGTAGGCAAGCAGTATCAGAATACTGAAATTTGTCTTTGGCTATACATTGATATTGTTCATTAAAGTGCAAAATACCCGGAATTCTGAAACTATTTATATTTTTGTACTATTTATATTTTCCTTATATAGATCTTACCTGTAAAAAGTATACATTTTAAAATACACATAATAAATTTTATATATTTTTATATAGGTACAAACAGAACCAAACAGAGTACACTGTGTAAGTTAAAACTGCAAATGAGTCCACCTAAAAATTAAAATTTTGTGGTCACAATACACCGTGACTGGGCATAGGAAAGACTCTCTGAGGGTAAGATTAAATATTAGGACAAAATGGTAAGTACATTAGGCCAGACAGTGACTAACTTACAGTGAAGGCTTTTTTCACGTTTACTGTCAGCTATGAGTTTTTCATACTACTCAGATGAGTCACAGCAATATGAGTAACATATCAACATGTCTTGGAAACAGTAGCTCAGAACAACAAAACCATACGAGGTCAACAGCATGCACAAGTGGAGTGTACATTTGAGACCATTCAAATTTATATTTAGCAGAATAGCCAAAGCAATTACTAGGTAAAAATATTATATTATTCCGTGCATTCAGAATGCAATTATTGCATTGTAACTTTGGAAATACAGTTTGAGCCACCACTGGTAATATTTAAGCGAAGACTACTTTGTAGCTCCTAGTCTTAAGAGAAGCCCCTACTGAAACTGTGGACTCTGGCTGCAGACACGTTTGTTACACAGCTGTATGTCTCTAAGTACATTTTCTGTTGCTATCTGCTACATCATCCTGAGATTCCAGGTTTTGCTAGTGGTTTATCTACCTGGATGAATGTAACAGTCAGGCAACACAGTCAGTGTAAGATATCTGGGTTTTGCAAAAGACAATCAGACTCTAAAATGAAAGACTATGAATCAGAGACATAATCCATGAAAGCCTCTATGGCCATACTCATATCCAAACCACTCAATCCATATCATCCTAGGGAAAGTCAGCAGCATGGTAAAAAGCTAACAGATATACGAGCAGAATAGTAGAGCTTTATTAAATAATAACAATTAGTTTTGAACAGATTGAAAATGTAATTTTACAAAGGTATGAAGGATCTCTCAGAAGCTTCCAGTGGAACAAACCTTCCATAATAGAGGATTATAAATAAATACTTCAAATCACAAAGGTATTTTCCACTAGGTAAATGCAACTGTACAGTTTCTTCTGGTTTTCAGTGATTTACCTCTTACTAGTTTGCATGGGGGTGGGGAAAATCCAGAAGACGTAACCACAATGTTTTGGTAATAATCAGAAGAAGCTGGGAAACTTCAAGGTGCTTGCCTTGCTATGTAGGTGGTCATATACATTAAAGATAGGTAATCCTACTCAGCTTACAGGAGCTAAATGCATATACCAGACTTGTGAACTGCTGTCACATTTGAAAATGGCACTGACCATTTACTAGAGGTTAAATCCTCCAACAGTTTTCAGGTCAGAATATAAATTAGCTTAAATAAGGTGGCTTGAAAGGACTGTAGATTGAGGCACTACTTCATAAAAGTTTTTGCCTACAAAACTGCAGCTTCACTTACTAGGTGACAAGAAGCAGAGGAGGAGTGCTCTCATTCAAAGCAGATAAAATTTCTAAGTCTGCTGCTGCTGCAATTCAGAACAAAACATACCTCTCCATAGCCTGTACATCACCAGACTGGGAACGCTAATTTCCCGGAACAGAAAACTTAGACCACTTTTCGGGCAAGAACAACGCATGTTCTGCGGATACAGGGCAAAGAAGTTGAACACCAATGACTTAGTCAGTAGCACTAGCAAAAAATTAATGAAATGCAGGTTTTTGTAAGCTATCATGTATAAAGCATACTTTGCACAATAATAATGGGTGCTGTGGAGACCTGAACACAACTAATTGATGTTTCTCTTAAAGGGAAGTAGCAATGAAACAGGAGTTACATCACCTAAGCACACAAGCCTCATATAAAGTATCTGCTTTACTGTCTCTAAAAACTCCTGTTGACTTCTGACCACCGTCATTTAAAAAAAGTATTTAAAGTATTTAATTTCTACATAAAGCCCTTGGAGCCTAGTTCAGTACTAGTTCAGTAATTTTTAGAGGCTGATTATGTTCCTGCTCCTCAAAAAAAGGGAGGTAAGGGGAACAGTTCTCACCTTAAAAATCCAACCCAGTTTCAAGTAAAGAAACCTGAACATATAACATGCCTCAGATATCCTGAAAATAATACAAAACTCGGTGTCTATCATGATCCTTGTCAGGAAACTCAACATTTGAAGTAAATAACATTACTTGTTTCCAAGTGATAAAAACATTTTGCTATCCCTGACTAAAGAACTAAAACAGTGAGATTCACAGTCTTCAAAGGAAAAACGTGTGGTAGTTGGGAGCAACTGCTTAGATTAGTTCAGATGTTTTAAGTATAATAATATTTCTAGCAGGAGAATAATAGATTTTCCGTATTATTTTATCTGAAATACGCTATTAAAAATTTCCAAAGGTCCTTTCCCTATCAATAGTATAAATGCCCCAGATAACAATTAGCTCTTCAAAAATGGACCTCAAAATGCGACAATTTATAAACAAATCAAGTTCATATTCACTATAATTCCAAGAGAGGATACAAACATCCTCAGCACTTAGCATATCAATCTTACTCACACTCCTATCTCACAAAGGAGGAACTGAGAGCGTACCAACACATGGTAGAAGAACAGAGAGCAAAAAGGAAATAGAACTATCTCGCCAAGCTCCAGGCTTTCACTTTTAACCACTGGAATGACAAACACAGAATTGTTCCAACCACAAGGCAGACAATACAGTACAACTTGCAACTTTTATTCTATTCTCATAAATGCATTTACAGTTCAAACAAAAACAGGAAGAGTTTTAAAAATCAAGTGCACTAAGTTATACACTTACAAAGTACGTATTCCAGGGAGATGAATGTTCAATATTAAACTGAGTAGTATGATTTTGATTTAGAATCAAAATTAGGTTATGAACTACAGTCTCCATCTTCAAACATCATATTTAATTTTATTAAGTTGCTTTTCACAAACTTATAATTTCCTGCCAGTCTTAAGTGCAATTTATGAAAACCATCCTTCCATTTTTCTACGTATTTTCCATTTTCAATACTGGATTTAACAAACCCCCAAATATTCTTAAAATATTCAATTATGGAATTATGCAATCTCTCAAAACTGTATTTTAAAAAGAATATTTAGTTCATATTTTAATTACAATATACATATTTATTAATTTAACACAGTTATGGATGCTGGACATCTGATTTTCAATAGTGAAATTGACTCTGTTTCAAGATCTATAGTTTCAAATACTGACTTTTCACTATAAATTGTGCATCTACAAACCTAATCTAGCTCTTTAATTTTAAGACAATTAGAGAATTTGGAAGCATTCACATTTCAAAATTTCAAGATTATCACAAAAAAAGAAAACCTAGCTATGCATCAGACTTTTCTAGCAGAAGAGAAGGCTTTCTTGCAACACATTTTGAAATCCCTGTGAAAACAGCAGCATTCTGTCAATGGCTGATGTCTGACAGGCACAAGGCAATAGCCCAAAGAAGAGATTTCAATGTGAAGTTCAGTTCCTTAGTGAATGCTATGCACCTACACATGCTCTGAATCAATCCAGAAAATTTAGCACTTACAGATTTGCTATTAATATATTAGAAGATAAATCCATTTGTTATTATGACTTTGTTCTCAGTACTCACTCTCCTGTTAAGTGAATCTTACACATTACCACTGAAGTGGTCAATCTCATAAGGATTTTAACAGCCAAGATGCCTCCCTTAAAGGTTATCACGCATGTTTGTCCCTCTCCTAACAAGTGGTTTCCCAGACCTACCCTTGAGTATTAGCTCTTTCACTTAAGATCAGCTCAAAAATGTCAACCGGACTCCTGGCAGTCTTACTCAATTCTTTGTAACAAAGTTATCTGCAACCATAATTTAAACCTTACTTTAACCCTCACATTCTCCTCTACTATGTTATTTCTTGGCTGCTGCTGGTTGCAGGATCCATCCTCAGTCACAGGAACTTGGTTTTCATTTCAGGTGTGCTGCCCTATCTCTATCAGAAAGGTGTACAACACACCATGTCCTTCTATCAGTCAATAAATTTGGGTAAGGCTCACAGTGAAGCTTCAATGTTTCCTGCCTCATTGACTGCAACACGTATTTTCCTTGCATTGCCAGATGCAACACTGGTCCAACCACAACTACTCACCATCCTACAATGAACACCTTTCCTCGAACTTCCTGACCACCTCCCATGAATTGTCTCAGCTTTTCTCCACAGGTCTCCCTTTTACCCAAAAAATGCTACTTGCTGTCCTTCTGAGCATCTTTCACCGTTTCTTCCTTCAGCTTACCCTTGCAGTAAGTTTTTACTTCTTGTCTCATCAGCTCACAATGACAGCTTCCAATATATCTGTTATATTTTCAAAGTGTACCTGTCATCTGTCCACAATTTGGAAGAAGCATACCAAAGATTATCAACATGGACACATTTCAGAAATGGACCCTTTAAATCTTTTTCACTGTGAAAACTGCAATGAAAGTTGCAGATCAAATTCTTCTAGTGCCCAAAACATTGCATATAATGTGCATTGATACAGTCCTTCCCCCTCACCATACTCCATCAGTTTGCATTCAGAAAGTCTTGGCATTTCATGTATTTTATTTCAATTCTGCACAGTAGGAACCAAATTTTTAGCTCTAGTTATGCAACTTTACCCATTAACTGAGAGATATTTCCATCTTCTAAGCACTAAAATACTACAAAAACTCAGCCAGTAGGACAGGTATGCAAACTTCAGCATAACTCTGCATTCACATATTTTCTTGTCCTTATTTGATACCTTCCTTTCCCACACTATGTAGGCTTTGAGTACTGTTCCGTGATATTAAGCAATTTCATTAATGTCCCAGCCAATGTCTGACTGTGTAAATACGAAACATTTTACCTGTACAATCAAACATTTGTTCTATGACACTATTTGAGCTCTTACCTTAGTAAAATTATTCAAGTGACCTAGTTTTCTCATATTTGACACGCCTTGTAATTTGGCCACATTTTGGAGAATCTCTCTCATATTATCACAAGGGTCTGCAAAAGAAAAGAGGGCATTAGCAGATACCGTAAAAGAAGAAAAAAAAAAAAAAGAAAAATCTAAACATATATTCAACACGCAATTTCATTAACATAATAGGTACTCTCCTGTTCTCAGATAGGGATGTTGATTACTTTTGCTCCAAGAAGCATCTACCTGATTTACACTACGGACCAAAACCAGGCATACCTGAGTTCTGTAGAATGAATGCTAAAGGCCATGAAAGAGGGACACTCACTTTAAAGCAGATTTTAATCAGTATCTTAGATTTGCAGTTGACAAAGAAATCCATTTAGTATCTGAAATGTCAATCCCTACATTTTGTAAGTGAACAGTTTTACTCTCAATCCCTTTGTAATTTAAAGTCAAAATAAGCCAAAAAACCAGAAGTTAAAATATAGCATGTTACTGACACACCACGTTATTCCCTTTTTTCCCTCTAGATAAAGGGTTGGTGGGATTTTGGAAAGATAACCTCTTTTCTGCTCTCCACATTAACTGCTTTTCACAATGATGCTTTAAATAGAGGGCTAGGCCTTTCCAATGGCATGGGAAGTGAACTAGAAGGTAAACAAAAGGCATAAAAATGTCTTCTTTCTTCTTAAGCGTCCACCATCCCAACAAGAACAGACAAACAAAAAAAAAGAACCACCCACAAACCACTGTTCACATATCAACTGATGACCCTGCGTTCTGCTACAAAACAGAAAATGAGTACCATGATGAGAAGAGACACTCTTGTCCCACTTTTGGAATTAAGGCTGGAACTGAGGCAGAGTGGAACAAGCAGCACAGAGTGGGGCTGGGCCCAGGGGGCTGCACAGGGAGCTACTGTAACAGACACTGCATTAAGTTCTGTAAGTGGTGGTACTGGTGGTACTGTGGCAGGGCAGTTTTTAAAGGGACATATTTGATGAAGGATTCTCATGGAGTTTTAGATTAGACACAAAGGACAGGTATCAGCAGTCTGAGATAAATGAAAAACTAAGGCTATCCTAAAGATGTAAACTATTGAAAGTAACATATTTCCAAAGACAAGAAATAATTGCATTACATAAAATGGAGTATTTAGAACAAGCCTGACCACCAGACGTCTAAAAAGCAGCAAAGACAGAGCTTTTGTGTGTGGTGTCCCACACTAACTCTGGTAAGAAACTTGCCTCTTACTGCAGAATGGAACAGCTACAGCTGAATTTGTGGCATATACACAGTCTTTTACCTTCCCGGTGTTTGTAAAAGTGTGTTTGTGTACTTATCATTATGCAAAGGAAATCAAGCACTGGAGATGTAAAGAAATCATCATCTTCACTAGCTCTCTACAAACCATGCTTTTACATCACTTCTTGTACTTTAAAAACTTAAACAAATTTAGAAAAGCAAGCAATCTTACTAGGATATATCCAGAATGTGTTTGGACAGACAAGACCTGCATTTGCACCATCAACAGGAATCAAGACATTATTTAAAATTACGACACTTGCAGATAGGCACACCAATTAAAATTAACCTACTGTAGTCAATGAAGATTTTGTCTATCAGCCAATGAAATCTAATGTCATCAGCTTGATTAGCTGCTAGATGCCTACTCAAGGGTAAGATAAGAAATCGTATTGACTATGGTGTTTAAAATGAAACTCTAGCACATGTATAGACATGCTACTGCCACACCATTTAATTCTGTTAAGTTTCAAACAAAGGATCAGTGAGATTTTGAGAAAACAAGATATGTTCTTGCACATCAATTTCTACTAGCACTAGCTTGATGTGAAAGATCCTTTTCAACAAATCTACTCACAGCATACGCAAAGTCAACCATCAGATAGCTGTGTCCATACGTGTGTATCTTTGCACTGCTGTGCAGCAGGCACAGTAAAACCAGATATCTAAAAACTTTGAATTTAAATTGGAATATAAGCATGGTCCTCTCTGCAAATCTAGGAAAACAGAAAAATTAGAGACAGTGAGAATCTTACTGGATTATACCAGGTTTGGGATTCCTTTGCTTTTTCCAGGGCTTAACTCAGTTTAAGAGGTTTGTAATAGCACAAGTCATAAAATCGAGGAATGATTTGGATTGGAAAGGACCTTAAAGATCACCTAGTTCCAACCCCCTTGCTATGGGCAGGGAATCTTTCACTAGACCAGGTTGCTCAGAGCCCTATCTAACTTGGCCTTGAACACTTTCAGGGATGGGACACACGGAAAACAAGTAGTTGGGATTAGTTATGGCACTACAAATAGTTTATTTCATAAAGCCCCTTAATTTCAAGAGAACAAAACAGAAGAGGAAAACTGCCTCATAATCAGGTTTCTTTGAAAATAGTTTGGCTATGCTTTGGCCTGCCTTGGGTAATGTGTGGGAACTTCCCTGGCTCCCAACACTTTTGGACCTGCTCCCTGTTATGCCACAAGAAAGATCCCAGGTGAACAGTTTTAGAGCAACATAACTTTCCAAGGTGACTGAAAAGATGTTTTTCATTTTAAAAGTGCAGATGGCTACATATGCACAATAAACTAAGCTCACCACGTGAGCAAGAAAGACCACGGCACTAGCCCAGAAAACCTCTTCTGCAATGGCAATGGACATTATTATTTGGCAATCTGATAAGGCTGGCATTAACTCAGAAGTGCCACAACAGTGAGTTGTCCTGTAGAAAAAGTCAGTCAGTTTGGATGTGAAGAAATAATGACAAAATGATACTACAATCTGCCATATTAACAAATCTGTAGCAATGACAGATCTGTATAATAAGGATGCCTACATAAATGTATACTAACCATTTTCCTGTATTTTTGCATGAAAAGCTGCAGTTACAGCAACTTTTTCCTCACCACGTCCTCTTTCAGCTGAGGAAAAACTGGTTTCTGGAAACTAAAAAGTTTGAGGAAAGACATGTCTGTGGTGCTTAGCAGGGCAGGCAGGTATTTCCCAGAAGCTTTATTAGCAGATAAATAATTTGAAGCAAACTGGGGAACTCCAGAGCAAAAGCTACAAAACTGTGAGAAAACTGAGAACATGAAAGACATTTCCACTACTGAGCTGATAATATAAATACAGCAAGTTAGCTGTCTCACTTTTCAATCCTATTGAAATCAATACTGCTGCAGAAAATCGAGACAGTAAAAAAATAAAGACCCTCTCATAGTACATTACCTCAGAAGGAACTAGAATAGCAGAAGCCTTTTTGGTCAAATACTGTCAAGGTAGATTTATTTTAAACTTCCAAAAAGCCTTCTCACAAAAAGTATTCTATAAAAAATTTAACAAAATAACTGTGACATATTAACTTTAAGGAAAGACTGGCTATCTTGTTTTTCCTTCTTCTGAAAATGCATCATACATTACAAAGAAGCAGAAAATATATATTACTTACTCAAGTGTGACTCATTTTTAGTAAAAGTAAAGCCAGAAAGGAAGGTAGGCAGGCCTAAGAAAATTTCACATCACAAATGTAAAAGAATTTAAACCAACCAATTTGACTACACAAACGGCAATTCAGACTTTCACTAGTCTGTCCCTCACATTACAATGGGCTTGGAAACAGACTAAATACATTCCGGATTCTAAAAACCAAGTCATGTGGCTTTCCTGTAATCACAGATCAGAACCAGGACTGTCTATTTTCCTGTCACAAAATCTTACAAAGAAACTAAAAAATACTGAGTAATGCAGAAATCGCAAAAAGCATAGTGCAAAATGACAGACTGATCTTCCAAAGAAATATTACAGCCTTAATATTTCATTGTCAAGGTTAACATTTCATCTTGGTGTTGACAAAGACCTTTTTTTGCTGTTTTCTTGTTTTGTTTTTTTTGTGGGGAGGGGGTTGTGGGGTGAGAGGAAGGCACTATTTTTGGTGTTTCACAGATTTACAGAATATTCTAAATTGGAAGTGACCCAAAAGAATTACTGACTTTAACTCTTCAGTAAATGTCTCACACATGGATTGAACTCAAAACCATGGTGTTACTAGCACCATGCTCTAGCCCACTGAGCTAATTGGTGTTGTATGTGTTAAGGACCCCAGTTCATATCACTGCTGTGATTTCTTAGCTCTTACTCTCCAGCTCCTCAGAAGTTCCTGTTTTGTATCTAAAACAAAAAAAACCGAGAAGCTACTCATTATTTAAAGATCCCCTCAAAAGTCTATTCTTTCCTGAACTCACTTCATTTATTACTGGTATGCTGACTCAAATTATTGAGAGAAATTTCTTCACCAAAAGGGTTATCTGGCACTGGAACAAGCTGCCCAAGGAAGTAGTTGAGTCACCATCCCTGGAGGTAATTAAAAGATGCACAGACGTGGCACTTAGGGACACAGTTTAGTGATGAACTTGGCAATATCTGGTTTACGATTGGACTCAATTATGAAGGGCCTATTCCAACCAAAATGATTCTATGATCTCCAGCTGGCCCACAACAACAATTAAATAGCTTCACATTCTTTCCCATGGTGCTTCTGAGGGTGGAGCTCTGCAAAATGACTAAAATGATCTTCTAGCTTTCTCCTGCCAAAAGATGCACAACCCCTTCCCTTACTTTCCTTCCCTCTCCTGTCTCACTGTATAATACACCCTTATCATTTACACTACTTCAGCACCCATCCTCAAATTCACAATAAAATTATCCTGCCAAGTATCTCAGTAGAATCCTTTTCTTGCTCTTCTGACTATGCTAGCTCTGTACTGAGTTACTGACTCAAACAGAACACTAAATTCTTACAAAACCCACTCAGAAGTAGCTGCACCACTGAGCCATTCACAGGTACAGTGGTGAAAGCAAGACATACCTGTTCCACATGACATTCAGTAGAAAAAAGTTACCTTTTTTTTTAACGTGGACTTTACAACTGGCAAGCTGTCCCAATTATTGTACACAAAGCCACTTCACAATAAAAACTTGTTGATATATATAAAAATCACAAGTCAGCCATTTGTATCCTGCAGCAACAGCTTAGATTGCTCATCATTATTCTCATTTTCTCTGTCTGCTTTT